TGACAGTTGTGATAGATGCACCTACCGCTTAGTGAGCGCAGAAGAGTTAAACTGATTGCATTTTTACAGTCTGTATATTTCTCTGCTTATTGTTTGTGTCCCGCTGTTAAAAAAGCAGGTTAGTTGCATAGTAAATCTTTCTAATCAGCACAAGAGAAGAACAAAAAGAACAAGAACCTTCATTTGTTACAGCTACTTCAGAAGCGTGGTCATCTGAAGGATGTGTTCTGGGAGATTTGTCCCTCTTTTTCAGAAAGGCTTGTTAATATGAGCATAACTAACCAGGCATCTCAGGAGAGGACAAAGGCACGCTCATTAAAATTAGCGGAAAAAACAACCCACATAGCAGATATCTATCATAATGATACTTCTGTTGTCTCTCACTGTAATGTCTAAGCAATATGTTCCATAAAGCACATAAGGCCCAAAGTGTGTAGCTAACAGCAAGGGGCTGGTTTCCAAGTTCGGATGCTCGCTCTGTGCCTGTCTGCATTCAGGTCCAACATGTTCAGCTCCCTTTACGTGCTTCTCTTTCCCTCCCCTCCCTCCAAATTAAAGCTCACCTCCGTTTGGAGCCATCCCCACTCAGACCTTTTCCTTGCTGTGAGTAACACAGAGATGCATGATGTAGTAGATATATAAAAATACTGCTGGATGACAAGGCATAATGAATGCGTGTACTGACTCCTGGTGAGATACAGCTGCAGTGTTTAATGCATTGATTAACCATGTAGTGGCGTGATTTGTAGAAGCTGGATGCATAATTGCAAGATAGCATTTCTGGGAATAAATCCAGAGCTGTAATGTCTGTGAAGGATGGAGAACGGGGAATTTGGGGGATGGGAAGCAGAGAATTACTAGGTTTGGGAGGATCTTATGATGGATGGTTATTAGGTGCAGGGCAAGAAAATACTAGGTAAGGGTGTGTCTGATCAAGGACGTATGACTGAACTCATCTAGGAGGCACTGGGATTAGAGGGAAACATGGAGGTCCACAGAGTTGTCTGGAGGAGAAATATCTCTATATGCAATATTCTTTTCTCCTTTCAGAAAACCACTAGCTCTTCTGCCAGTCCTGATTCTCCTTTCTTTCTAGGAAAGAAAAAAAGTAATATTTTACTTCTGATCGTGAGAGTTTTTTCTTTTCTGGGCATGCAGTTGATTTCTCTACCAGCCCTTGACTAAGTCCAGCACTTTAGTTCAAATATTAAAAGCTAAATGTTGCGAAGTCCAAGACAAGGCTTGTATGACTAATGTGCAGGGTACTGAAGCTCATCAGGAGGTGCATGAATATGATTATCTCTAAATATCATCTGTTGCTTGTGCTACCAGAGTGGTAAGATTCTCTGTAAAAGCAGATGTTCATTTTTACAGCATATAAAGGCTTAAGTGAGTGCAAGGTTGTTGGCAGTATGGGGGCAGCTTCGTCAGAGTAGCCCGCATGACTGAATTATAGTTCCCTGCGAAGCTGGGGTGAGTGTCAACCCATCTTGCATAACTTTGTTTTCCAGTCAGAGGCATGTCACAGCTGAGTGTAGAAGTCATTAGCAAATGCTATTTTACCTCAGTAGAAAAGATTTCATTCCTCTTCCCATATGCTTAACCAGTTATTTTAAGCTGCTTTTCTTTCACTGTTTTTTTAACTATTATTTTTATCAGCCCAAACCTACTTGTGTTTTGCTTAATGATGAAACTCCCATAGATCTTTTTGTCACCAGATAAGAGCTTTATATTAAAATTAAAAAAAATATGAATTTGAATACAGACTTACTAGCCATTTGTGTGTGCTGTTTTACTCCTGTGGAATTAGGTACTTCTAACACCTTTGAAGGTGCCTTCTTGGCTGTATGGTAGGCATGTAGGAGACCCGAGATGGGGGTTGGCAGTGAATCTTTGGCATCTTGTATAGTGAACAGCTCTCATTTCCCAAATTTGTTGATGGCCTAGATATTTCCAGTCAGAATTATCTGCAGCTGTACGTGATGGGCACACATTTCTGTTGTTTAATCTTTTTGGATAATGGAAGATGTTGTAAGGTAAATATCTGATGGCTGAGGATATCCTTCATAATTCAAATGCATGTCTCCCAGCCTGGGTGTACTTCCACCAAGGCTATCAGCATAACCTCCAAGCCCTGATTTTTTGACCTCTGATAAGGTGTTCACTCACTGTAGCTCAAATACAGCAGTTCTGTTACATATGGAGTCCTTTCTGCCCAAGAGTAGGGCAGGAAGAATTTTCCCCTTAGGCTGTAATTACAGGACACACACTTTCTACAGCACTCTCTTCAACAGGCAGGTGGGATTTTCTTATATTACTTGTGATTTAGTGATGCACTGTTGTATTATAGTAGTGCAGCCTATGCCAGCATTTCCATTACAACCCGTTTTTACAGGTTTATAACTCAACAGTAAAAACGTACTCTACCAATTTGAAACTTGGCATATAATGTCTCATCTCATCCTCAAAATGATAGTTTTTTCTTTCCCTCTGCCTTCACCCTCCACCAAAAAAGGTTGCATTTTTGCTGTATTTTTAAATGGAAGATATTGTCCTCTGTGTTTTGATAAGAGAAAAGCCTACCTGATTATTAAAATTACTTTTCAATTCCAAGAAAGGAGGACTTTATAATAGAGGATGCATGTGAATAAGTGGGGTGGATATTAGAATGACTGCATTAAGTATATGGATACAGAGAAGTATTACCTCCCAAAAGAAAGCTAGGGAATATTGATCAGAATGATTGAAAAGCTTTTTTTTTTATGTTGATTTTCTTTCTAGCTGTTGATTTTACCCTTAAAAAGGTGTTCTCAAAGGTAAATATATTTTAGCTGCTGCACTCTATTGTTTATCAGGATGAATAAAGTAAAGGGAGACTTTACTGTGTATAGACAAAATACATTATTTTTCTCCTTTCTCATTTTAGAAACACGGTACAGAAGGAACATAAATTCTAACTTTGGTGTTGAGACCAACTACAAAGAGTAGACTTGTAGTTAGCACGGTGTTATGAATCCAAAGCAGGTGTAAGGAGGAAAGCACAGTGTTTCCAATAGACAGATACTTGTGTGAATAGATACTCCTACCTGCTCTGAAGCCTCACGTTCCAATGCAATGTAGTACGAGTGCTTAGAAAACCAGGACTGAAATCCGGTTTCTACTTCTTTACCTGTCTTCTTGGAGCCAGCCATATAGGAGTTGAAATCTACCCAGTTGCGAATAAAAGAGGTTTCCTCACCTCTATGAATACCACCATCACTGCAAACATGGCAGGAAGGCTTCACTGTATTGCTTCTTGTTGCAGCAAATTTACTTCCAGGCTTTTCTTTTTCCATTTAGATAGTTAAATTTATGCTTATCGTAACCACTTTAGTCGTACTAGTTAGAAGAAAGGGTTTGTAAGAGAGATTTCACGTAGGATGTTTATTAATGAATTGAGCTATTATTTTGTCATATATTTGAAAGCTGTCAACCTATATACAGTATGCATTCTTACTATAGCTAAGCTGTCTTTCTCTTCAATCCCAGCTGTTTTAGTTTTTCAGTTGTCTCTAATATATCTATTTACAAATATAAAAGTATAATGAAAAGCAAGGAATGTGCTTCCTAATGAGGAGTTTAATTGCTTCATTTGGATTTTAAAATCAGTAATTAGGGCGAAGACTATTTTGTGTCCATAAGCAGCACTAATGGCTCCCAGATATAAAATAAAATAGCCATACATGGAACTGAATTTTTTTAAATTTGTTAAATCAGAATGCTCAGCGCTTCCTCACATCAGCTTTAGTCCAGTCCATCTCTGACAAAACCAGTGGGATTCTGTAGTGTAAAATGAATGCAACACAGTGAGATACAGATCCTCATTTTTTACAGGGAAGAAATTGCAAGTCCAACCAACAAAACTGCCAGGAAGTATCAGATGTGCTCGGTGCAGTCAATAGTTTCAGTGTGTAAATCCCAGTCTTCTAAGACTTGACTGTACATTTAACACTATTAGCTCCTATAAAAGAGTGCTGTTTACATTTCTGGAATATACAAAGAAAGAAATGATATTGAGAATCACCAAAGTGCTTAAATCCACCACAGCACCATTTATTGAAAATACCTTCAGCACCATGGGGATTGCTATTGCTATTATAGAAAAGCAGAAAACTCCCAACCCAGTCACGTTCACTTGGGCGATGGAAATATTAAACACTGCACGATGCTAGACAGAGCGCACACTGTTGCTTTCATTTTGTGTGATTCTGCCACCAGAACCGTTTCTTACTTGAGTCGCTGTGGAGAGCAGACAATAATAGCAACAGCTGGATGCTCATCAGAAGACATGGCTGAAGATACATTAGATTCATTTTTTAGACTGTGATTGTCTGAATATTCCTGCATTTAATAATATTCCATGTAGAATAATCAGTGAACGCAATGGAAACAAACAACTCAATTTGACTCACAGGTATATATGTTAAAAGGCATTAAATGTTCTTTTTGAAACTTCCTAGAAGAGACTCTGGCAGCCATGTAATATATTAAAATTATATTTGTGTTTTCATAAGAACACTTGGAGAAATTGCAAGAATCCTTAAGGATAAAATAGTCCTGTCTTGTATATTTTCCTAAAACTGAGGAATATGATAGATTTTTCATTACTATGCAGTGGTATTATGATAATTATCAACTGTCATATTTCATTTCTTCTCATGAGCATCCAGCATCATTTTTAAGGGGCCACAGAATAGAACATGTTCTCTCCAGCTGATGGCACTCATTATTGTAATTACTGAGTACCCTTAGCAGACTGTTTGAAGTCTTGCTGTAAATTCAAATCAGAACGTAAATGTTATTGGAAAACATGTGGTTACATTTGGAGAGTTTATTTGCTAATCATGTGTAAGTCAGTGTCAAAATTATAGGAGTATGACGACCCATGCAAATGTATCTAATTGTTTTGTGCTGCTGTATATATAACTTGTACAGAGAATAAATTTTGCATTTGTTCGTAGGCACAGAAGAAGCGGAAATCCAATGAATCTGTAGATACAGAGCTCTGTCTGAATGAGGTAAGAGTGTGGGTCCTGTGTATTTCACAGCACAGGTGTCTCCCCATCACAGAAAATGTTCAAAGTATGTCAAGATTATGATGGGCTTACCTCACACTAAAGTCTTGTTAGTATTGTTACATTTGAATACCATGATGTATTAAAGACTGATCTTACTCAGAAACCTGGAGCTGGGCTCAAAGTGGCCTCTGCTGACTTTATATTTTAATAGCTCTGTGGTACATGTTTAGGCAGATCCCATGGTAATTACCATTGCACTGAGCAAGTATAATTAGTTAATAATCTGCTGGAACACAAGATGATATGGCTTTTAACAAGTACACAGAAATATACTGGGCACCATTCTGTGGCTAACAAAAATGACCAATTTAGGGCATGAAATGATGTTCACATCAGGAGATGTGCTGCTTATACATCAGAAGAGAGATTGACAGCCCCAAGAGATGTGAAACTCCCAGTGCTGTTTGAGTAGCCTGCTCAGCCTGACCTCCAAGGTCCCCTTCAGACGCAAACATTACATCAGTTTCTATGTCTGTCAGTCCATATCCTTTGTACTGAGTCTCTCAGGAAGCTTAATAATTAGTGATGTACATAAATTGATTTTTACAATGTGGAAGCACATAGCCTAGGCACCAGAGCAAGACCAGCTGTGCTTGCATAAGCCACCAAATTGGATGTGACCATATGTTTCAGGTTCCCTTTCACCAGTCCATATTTGCACAGATCTTCTAAACAATGACAGTTCTGTAGCCTGTTCCTACTTCTTTAGGTTCTATTAAAAATTTCCTGTAGATACTAGAATGAAGCCTAATAACGTGTGAGGGACGATACAGTGACGTTAACAGATCTTTTGACAGCTTGTGCTGGCTAAAAGACCTTTCACAAGAAGACCCTAGTAACTGCAGCTTACTGCAAGAACTGCTGATCTGTCTTATCCCATACCCTGTCTGTGACAGTTTCCAAAAAGCAAATACCCAGGATTGAGTTTATGGAAGAATATAATGATAATTCCATCAATGCCTCTACTACTTCTAACAGTTTGCATCTCAAGGCCTTCCAGTTAGCTAGTCCTAGCGGGTGATAGCAAAGGGAGGGAACAGCATGGAGATTCACTGGTGAATGCCTCCCTGGTTCTGAAGACAGTCATTCCTGTGGAAACTGATGCTGACTGCTCATTCTTTGTGTCTGCTCTTCTGGGTACTTCCAGCTTGTACCTTGGCGCATCGCCTCTCCAGGCTGGGGGGAGGCTTGTCGCTTTTGTAGAAGCTGTGTCCTTCGAGATTTTCAAGTCCTGAGTGGACAGGGTCTGAGCAACTTTGCACTGAGTGGGTTGGACTTAATGACCTTAGAGGTCCCTTCTAGTCTAAATCATTCTGATTCTGTGATTACACCCATTCATTCTTTTTTAAAACTGAAGATGATAAGCAATGAGAAATATTCCTGTTGGACCTCCTGCTTAAATAGCTCACCATAGTCTCCCAATCTGTATTTGCATATGCGTACTGCTTGATTATTGAGGCAAAGAAGACAAGGCATGTAAGTAATGCATCAATTAATGGAAAAAAGGCTTGAGAAAGAAATTTTTTTGTAAGCTAGAAACCTCTATTTTTTCTGATCCCATGGATTAGTTTTTGTCTATTGTTATCCAGAAGTAACTTGTTATCAAATAAAGTTGTTCTAGTGATTATGCAGAAGTTGCAGTTTCACTGTGGGTCCTGCATTTGCTTTTTAAAATGAACTGGAATGATAAACAGATGGCTAAAAAAATTGCCGTACTTAACAGAGGTAGGTTTTACACATGGAACCACTGCTAAAGTAGGGAATTTTTAATACTTTCCTCTTTTTTTTTTAATTGTGCTGTACTGGTGTTTTTATCTTTTAAACTAACTTTAAAATACTGTCATTGTAATATCTGGTTTTATGCCTTTTGTATCTTGCGATCTGTGACAGTGATATATTATTAACAGTGGAGGGTGGGACACGAACAAACAAAAGATGAATTTCATGTTGAGATTGAAATATTTTGCAATGAAAATGTGTAATGGTGACCGAGGAAAGTATTGTGTCTTGCAGAATGCTATTGGGAAAGACAACACAGCAGGAGTCTCCACCAGTCACATATCTTCGGAGAATTCGCTCGCTCCTCCTAGAAGCCTCTATCTAAGCACACCGCTCACTCTGATGACACTTGCACTCTCACTCTGTTTGTTCCTAAGCTCATCAGTCATCTTGTAGCTGCATTCAAACGGACGTGTAAAAAAAAAAAAACCAAAAAAAATCTGTTTCCTGTCTTCTGTTGTTTATCTGGAATTCCAGGTCTGGGAGCTAAGCTGAGGCACTCCTGCTAGAACAGTTTCAGTCAGCTGGAATTTTTTTTCTCTCTCTCTAAAAAAGCTTCTTGTGATATTTAGAGGCTTTGTGAAATACTTGGTGCAGTGCTACATTCCAAACCCAAAAGGCTTTTGGGCATGCAGTATTTTAAAAAGACAGAGTGTAAATTTGCCTGTAAAGCGACCTGGTTGGATTATTTTAATAATTGTTACTTTGATTCTGGGTTTTACCTGAGAAGGAGGATGGCAGTTTTCTTAAGATCCTATTTATCTCATTGAGTGGTTTTGGTTTTCAAATTGATTGAACTTCAGACTATCAAGGATGCCAGGCTTTTGTCTAATGGTGAATGTTCTCCCAGAGAGTGGACTTTATGAAACTTCTTCATTTGATGAATTGCTACTGACGTTAAAGTCCTTCAGCGTATTAGCATTTTCCTCTTTAAATGTTTACGTACTGTAAGTGATTCTGCGTTCCCTGCTGAGAAGCCATTATAATTCACATACAGGTGTCATGTACGTCTTTCAGTTAAATTCTCATTAAAATAGTGTGACATAGAACTTTCTAACAGTACATTTATCTTTTAATTATAATCATCTAGCCTTAACAAGGGTGAAGATTCTTTAAATTAACAAGAAGCAGCCATTGTGAAAGCTTGATAAAGGTACGTTTGTTTAAATTTGAGGATAAACAGTAGAAACAAATTTTGCTACAGGGTTTCAGCTGTACAGTCTATGGTCTTCTGTGCTTCCATTGTGATAATATAATCCAGTTATTATACTGTTTGTTTAATAAAAATTGCATACAATTTATTTGCTCTGCTAAAACAGCATTATCTGTTTATACACAGCTGACAATGTCATCTCAAAAAAGTTACAGCGACTTCATGCCTTACTTCTCTAATGACAACATTGTAGAGGGAAAAGAGGTAGTAGGATACCAGTTCAATTGTGTTTTATTTCTTAGATTGCTAAAATCAACACAAAAGAATTGTTGATCCATTTACGAGGCAGCGTCACCCATGTGACAGGCTTTTCTCACCCTGGTAGTTCCTGCTGCAGACCTTGGCATTGCTGACATGATGAACTGTTTGCAAGACCAGTTCCATAAATTATTTTAATGGTTTGGATGGCAATATTGCCAGTATACATGATTTGATCACATTGGTTTTCATTCAGTGACATTGACAGCTGCTGCTGGCTCAAGACGATTTCCTGCGGTATCTACAAGGAATTCTTTAAAGCTTTAAATGTCATCAAATAGGCAGCATTTCTTCTGAGGGCTGTCTTTATACCTTACTGTGATGGCTTGTTGACTGTTACAAGCAGTTATGTCTAAATGATCAACAGTAATCAGTTTTTGTTTCTATTGAAAGTAGAAGATAACTTTGCCAAGCAAGGAGTTCATCCTGTTGAATTTACACATTTACACTGAGATTTACACAATTATGCCCAGGCCTGCTCTGAAATGTCCAGATCAGTTATTTGCAATACAACTATGAAGTATAAATTACTGTTTTATAAGCTGTAGTGAAGTTTGGGAGTGTGAAAAATACACATCTTACTAAGAGATTATTAAACCTATTGACAAGTTCATCTTCTGAGCTTTTTCTTAGCTAATAATAAACACTTTCATAAATTCTGAAATTCACTTATGTACTCTTGATTAGGATCAAATAATACAGGTTTCAAAGCACTGTGTGTGTGATAGAATTCTAGGGTACTCTGTGCCACTGAACATAACAAATTAGACAATATTGCTCTTTAATTCTGTACTGATAAGAAACTGCAAATTACTTTCAAAGGCATCAGGGCTGCTTTCGGAGAAGGAATACATAGCACATCATTACCAACAAAACCCATGTGGTTCCTGTTGCTCTTCTTGCAGAAGCTAATCAAATTACTGAAAACTACTGAAAACAGAAAAAAGATTACGAGATTCATCATTTTAAAAATAAATCAAATTATATCAAAAAGAGTTGATAATATAACTTATTGAAATGCTAATGAACATAGCATTATAACTCAAAAGTCTGACGTTATCCAATTAAAAATATTTTCAAAACAAATTCGTAAACATTACAATTATAAAATCCATCTTCGATCCATGAAGCTTTCTTTAAAATATCATTTGTGTTCAGCACATTAAACATTTTAAGCAGTATCAGGAATTTTAAAAACCTCCCAGTATAGTGCATACGTTTTGAAGATTTTTTACATTTCATTTGATTACAGTATCTCTATTACATTTAATAACAATTATTAGAGGTTTGACACTGGTGATTCAGAATAAAAGCTATTGACCACTTATACTGTAAACAACAACCTAATTAGCTTCTGATTACAAGAGAAATTGCTAGTTATCTGTTTCAACGAGAGTTACCTTTGCAAATACCATTATGTATGTAGTAGAGGAAGAAATGGCATTTTATACAGCTAGCCATATTACCACAAACAAAACAGAGCACTCAAGCTTTTTTCCTGTGTAAATTAAAAGCATACTGAATTCTTAATTAAAAAAAAAAAAATTGGTTATTAAACAGGCAACAGGAAAAAAAAACCCCTAAGAGTCTGACACTTAATGAGGCTTTCACAGGCATCATCATTGCAAATATTGGAGGATTTTTAGAAGTTGGATGTGGTGTGGATGGTGTCAATTCAGCGTGGTGACCTTGTCAATGCAGTCATTTCCTACAGTACTGAAGTATGCAAACTATTTAATTTTTTTCCCCTTTCAGTCGCTAAAATGCCATCTGTTGAGTGCTCAATGAACAAGCTTAGGCTGGGCTTTATATATTCCTTTAATACATTATCAATAGAACAATAATGTAGGAGCTGTCCAAATACAGGATGTACATACAGATGATCTACCATTTAAATTGTAAATTCAGCCAATTCAGTTGTGTGTAAATTGAATCATGGGCTGCCGTAAACATATACAAATCATCTTTTTCTTTTGAAAAATGGAACAGATATTGTTACTAGTATTATAAGGAGTGTCTACTCTGCCATGTCAGATAACCTGATTATCGAGTTTGTTTCTTCTTAAAAGTAGTACACACAAAGATAAAATTCAGATTGAACTGAAATATATAACTAAGGTTTTGTACTCCTTAACATAGATACTAATTCCACAAGTTAGTCCAATGAAAGAGGCGCTGAAGACGAACCTTTTAGATATTAGTGAAAACAACAGGAATTGAGGCTTTCCTCCGCCCCGGTGCAGGCAGTGACATCCGCCAGCGGGCAGCAGTCCTGCAGGAGTGTCAGCGCAGGGATTTGGTCCATGACGTGGAGTTCAGCCCTTGTTTCGCTGACTCCGCTCTCTGAGATCATGGCTGCTTCAAGAGAACAGGGAGGGAGTTACCGAGCACTGAGTGGGAGCCATCTACCCATCTTCACTGGGGCACTGGCCACCTTCCACTCAGTAGCTTCATTCCCACTGTGTCATTAGGAAGAATTAGGAAGAATGGGCATTCTTATAATTTCAAAGCATTGCATAGACAGTCTGTCTGGAGACCTATTCCCAGCCTTCTATTGAAAAGAAATTATGTGCGTCTAAGACCCAACCTTTGTGAAATCTGTGCAATTAGAAGAAAACAGAGAAGGAATCACTTTGAAATCGTAATTTTAATTGTGATTGTTGGCTTAATCACAAAGATATTTCCATGGAGGAGAGATGGTGAGAAACTGGTGAAGGAAAATAGCAAAACTCAGAACAGCTCCCTGAAGGGACATAAATGTTGTGTATGTCACGTGACAGGAGTATCTCATATTGAGCGCTGGGACTCACTGAAATAAGAGATGGATTCTGCTAGGAACAGCAGGTCCTTCAGAGCAAACAGTAAAAGACAGAAGAATGAGCAGTTATTTTTACAGCAATTATACCTTTCTTCTATAAAATGCAATTATTTTTCTTCAACACCAAGGTGGATCTACCTCACTGAAAAATGTATGTTCACTGATAGGACTTCTGCTTTAAAACTGTTCTTGGCTAAAGAGGCCTTCAAGGTTGTTTTGTGCCCATAAGGTTAGTCAGATTCTACCCGATGTCCCTGACATCAAATAGAAATATATTTGCTTCTGATGAACTTGGCAGAGAAATTAATCCAGTGACTTGTTAAATATTTCTCATCTTTAAATATTTGCTTTTTCTTACCAGCTCAGTTCCTTCTATGACATTTCAATTATTGGCCATTTCAGCTTCTCCTTTAACTTTGGAAGGTTGTTTTATCCATACTTTACAGTAATCCACTTTCTAGATTTGCCTCAGGCTTGTATCTGTAGCGTGATCTATATCTTTTTAAAATTGTGTATTATGCCTTGTCAACTCTTTTTTTTTTTTTTTTTTTTTTTTAATTACAAACAGCACTTCTGAGAGAAAAAATGTGATCAGGAATATGTCTCTACTGAACAGCCAACACCTTTACAAAGGGAGGAAATTGCAAGTTCCTATTTTATCTGCTTAGTACAGGTTTGACTAGAACAAGCTAAAACATGACGTTGCTATTCCCCAGATGGAATATGAAATTTAATTTGGTACTAAATAAGGATTAAAAAGTTTTAAACTCTCACATTCTTTTAGAAATATTTAAATACATCTAATGTATTTTCCAGTTGGAATTTCAGTCAAATAGATAAAGTCTCACTAAGTAGTAATTTTTTTCAAGAGTAAGAAGTTTCACTGGGAAAATTTGATGGGTCCATTTTTAAGGTAAAATCAGGGAAGGTGGTGAATTCCCATTTTTAACTTGCTGTTATCTTGACTTTCATACATCCTTGTTCCATGTTCTCTTCATCTGAGTATGTTTGCCTTCAACGGACATTTATGCCTAATAGATGCGTATTAGATATGGTCACCTCAATCAGAAGCCAAGTCCTGCACCTCCTACTTAGATGCTCCATCTCTTTTATCATTTGTGAAAGCCAGAGCAACAAATTGAAGATGTGGTCTAAAGATTATCTGAAGTTTAAACGAGCACAGAGTCAACCAATTTGTCAGCGTGTCCAGAGAAGGGCTACGAGGCTGGTGAAGGGGCTAGAACACAAGTCTTATGAGGAGTGGCTGAGGGAACTGGGGTTGTTAAGTCTGGAGAAGAGGAGGCTGAGGGGAGACCTTATCACTCTCTACAACTACCTGAAAGGAGGTTGTAGTGAGGCAGGTGTTGGTGTCTTCTCCCAAGTAACTAGCAGTAGGATGAGAGGAAACAGCCTCAAGTTGTGCCAGTGGAGATTTAGATTGGATAGTAGGAAAAATGTCTTCACTGAAAGAGTTATCAAGCATCGGAATATGCTACCCAGGGAAGTGGTTGAGGCACTGTCCCTGGAGGTATTTAAAAGACATATAGATGCGGATCTTAGGGACATGGTTTAGTGGTGGAATTGACAATGTTAGGTTAATGGTTGGACTTGATGATCTTGATGGTCTCCAACCTAAACAATTCTATATTTCTATGATTCTAATTTCTCAGTAGCGCTTCTTATCAATATAGGTTCTGCTATTATAGATTGGATTATAGATTGGCACGTTTAACCAGAGCAGCTGCAGTTTCTGCTTTTCTACCTTTGCCAGGTGCCAATAGCTGAGCTTTGCCATGCATACACTTAAGAGTGAATTGCCAGTCAGATTACAGCAGCCAAACCTGATCCAGCTTCAGCAAGGTTTCCCCTTAGCTTTTAGTGATTCCAACACACTTTAATTCTTTTGCACTACTTTTTAATCTGTCAAAAGGAGAATTTCCTAGAAACCAGGAGGAAATGAGTTACAGATTTAAGGGCAATTTTCTTCAGATTCCTCGTGCCAAATACCACAATAATTGACCTC